TTTGCAAATTAGAAATTAAGAAAACAGTTTGTGACAAATGCCGCGCAGGCAGTAAGTCCACAGTGACAGGGTGAGGGCTTGGGAGCTGAGAGGGAAATTTGATGATTGGATGGGGTCTTTGGGCAAAGCCTCTGGGATAGGAAGGTTTTTGGTTCATATGGCATGGTGTGGATTTCCCTGGAATGGTGTGAGGATTAAAGACTTCATCTCTGAGGGCCAGTCTGAGAAGCATGTCCATTCCCGACAAGATCTTGCACGTGCAGAACCGTTAAACGCGCATGTGCACGCAGCTCCTAGAAGTTTTCAAGTGATGCGTGGACTTTTATGCCCCTAGGACTGGACGCTAAGACCTTAGCCTCGGAGCGGGTCTTTTGCAGATCAAACAAACGGAACTGGTTCCCAGTGACAAAGACATTACAACGTGAGATTTTATTAACAGGTTTGACTTCATGGGAAAAACAGGAAACTACCAATAATAAGGGCGGTTTCTTGACAGCTAATGTCAGGAGGAGTGTTATTGTCATTGATATTGAGAATTTTCGCTTCAAAACGCTCAAAACCTAAACACTGTTCACATTCAGTCACACAAGTTATCATTGTTGAGTTTTACCATTTAAAACAGGTTACAGGGTTTGCAAAATTACACTTTCTTATGGTTTCCATTCTAAATGATGTCAAAAATACACGCATGCAAGAAGAAAATGTGAGTTAGCACTTCAAACTTTTATCATTTGATTTTGATGTTTACGGTATTTTATGAGTTCCGACGGGTATAGAGAATGTAGCCCTGAGTAAATTTCGCTCCGTTTTTAGGGTTGGTATGTGTGTGTGCAATACTGCTTTTCAGGCATGCACATAACGAACCTTAGATTTCGTCTTGTGCGTGCACTGGCCATACTTCTCAGACTGGTAGGGTAAGGTCACTTTGTAATCATCTCCAATACTTTCATTTACATCATTTGAGATGGAAAATAACTATAGATTCATGCATATTACTGTGTTAATAATTGAAGGAAGGAATATTGATAGAGAATTAAAAAAAGAGTCATAAACAACACAGGTGTAGCTGCAATGGCCTCATAATCATGCAAAATGACAAAATTATCCATAACACCTCCCAGACTGGAAACTTTGTGGTGAGCATGTAGCTGCCTGTATGCTTTTCTGTTTTCACTGTGTACATTTCTGTTTGTTGGCTATGCAAAGTTGTTGAAGTGCCTGTTTACCACGCAGCGTGGATAGGCCCACGCATGTAGGAAGGTTTCCAGTCAGGGAATTCTTGAAGTTGTGCTTTGTATAAGTCTATTTTCTAAGTTGGCACTAAGTGCTAATAAAAAGGGGGGGATAAATAGAAGGTAGGAAAGGTTAGGTTTGGAATTTTGGGTTCACATGATACCCCAATGTTTAGGTATGTGTGAATAAACTGTTGGGTAGAGGAAATATATAAAAAATCTGGTTTTGGGACTTCTTCTATAAAGGATGCATTGCTCTTGTTGGCAAATACTATTCACTTGAATGGAGAAGTGATCAGTGATGAAAGGCTTAAAATCTTTGACCTGGGTTGGATTATTTTACTGATACAGTCCTATCCCATTGCTGCAAAAAAAGAAAAAATATTATTACAAGAAGAAGCAGGAACGCTATGTTTTAGTATTTATGACAATATCAGTGTATTATGCAGATTTTGTGGGAAATAACAGAAGATCTGTGTGAGAAAATACATAAAGCTTGTGGTTATTTAATTTCTGAGATGAGGCAACATTGTGTTTTTTTTTCAGATGAATAATTTATTCTTTATAATTATTATTATTTTAAAAGTAGTGTTTTACTATGATTTACAATTACTGATATAATTGCTGTTATTGTCATAACATTGTTTATTTCTTCATTTACAGAACAGCTACATGGTTTAAAAAATATATTATTTGCTATTCACATCTACTTATGATAAGCTGTGATATACACTGGATATCCAACAATACTGATTCTGCCCCAGTGGTGTTGAGGAATTAAATTTTAAGCTACTGATAAATATCTTTGAATTCTGCAAATTTTGTATTTTGCTTTAAGGTGTGTGTACTAACAGATGTTCGCTGGTAAGGTTTACCCATAATGATTTACCTCGCATTGTATTACTGGAATAACGCAACTCTTCCTTTACAGATGATGATATGGACTATAACTATGGGAGAAGGGGATCGCCTCGCTTTTTTGAGCAAAGAGAAGCCTTTGAACCCCAGCCACCCATGGACAGAGGGAGTTATTACGACTATGACCACCAGCAGTCAGACAGAAGGCTTTTGTATTATGACAATGATCAACACTGGTAATGTTTGTCACATCCTTCCTTGGGGATATTTATCTGATAAATTTTTGAGATTTGTTTTCATGCTTACAATAGGATTAGAAGCTGTTATGGACACCCGGCATCCAAACTTTCATATAGAATTTAGATTTTTCATAATTTCTCTATAATTGTTGCTTCTAGATAAGAGTAAATGTTAATATTCTTCATATCTTCAATTTTCTTGTTTTTAATAGTAAAAACAACATCTCTGAATCTTTCAGGAATTCCAGACAGTGTGATCCTGGTTACAGGGATGGCATGGGAAGTTCTGGCCACTATGACAGCCATGATAGCCCCTATAATCATGAGAGGACACCCCCACCTAATCCCAGGGGCAGCTGGGGGAGAGGGAGAAGGGGCAAACATGGAGGGAGGGGGGGGAAGGGAAAGGGTGTAGTCAAAGCTGATCCTCCCATGATACTTAGCGGCATCCCCCACATAGAGCGCTCCTTTGTTGCTGCCAAAAATGAAAATGGGGGGAAGAATGGCAGTGCTAGTAGCAGCCAAGTGAATGAGAGTGGTGAGGGTCCTGAGATGAATGCAAGTGCATCACCTTTTGGGGAAGTTCAGAATACATCTGGCCCAGTTCAAGAGGGCTCGGGAAATGGCAGCTGTAGAGAGAATGGAAAGTCAGACCAGGCGGCCAGCAGAAGGGAGAGGCTGCCAATGGGAGAGGAGATTACACCACAGAGTAATAATAAATTTGAAGGTGAACTGCAGCTGGAAACTGTTGACAGTGAAGAAGAATATGACAATGTTTCTCCTTCATCTAATGCCCCTCAGGTAGCTACAACAGCACAGCCAGTAAATGTCTCAATATCTAAGGACATGAATGCAGAATCTCAGGCTGTTTTGGAAAGATCACAAGAAGTTGCTGAAGCTGATCCAGCAAAACTAGAACTTGAAACAGAGAGATACTATGATGAGCTGCTGGGGAAGAATGAGGGAGAGAAAGAAGAAGGGACAGAAATTCTATCTGCTTCTCAAGTGGCTAAAATCACAGTTGCATACAAAACAGATGAGGAACAGAAGAAGGATGAGGAGAACCAGAAAAAGGAGGAGGAAAAGAAAGCAGAGGAGAGACAGGCACAAATTGAAACGGCTTGGTCAATCCTTCACCAGTACTGGCAGTTTGTGAGCGATAACCCCTATGACTTCAATGGCTGGACGTACCTCCTCAACCATGTGGAAAGCATGGTAAGGTGTACCAAGAAGGGAACACATTTATATTGATGAGTTTATACTGATGCATGCATGTTTGTGAAGTTATAAATTTCCCTGTACATCACTTACATAAAAGATGGTGATTGGACTAATCAGGTTTCAACCCATTGGCAATGTTACTCGTATGTGACACTTACAGATCAGCTTAATGACAGGTGCTGCATGTGTATGTACAAGTGCTATGTAGGATCCATGCATAGTTGGCTGCAGGAGCATGAGATTATCAGTATGCTCTTTCCCTGTTGTCTACAGTTTTGTCTAGTAGGACTTGTTATTCAAGAAATGTGTTGAAAACAGGGGTTGATTTGTACTTTTGCCCTGGCCATGTGTGGCATGTATGTGTTTCTCTACACACACACATGCACATGCACACCCATGCAAGCACATACACGCACATGCACGCATGCTCACTCTCCCACTCACTCACTCACTCAATCAATCAATCAATCAATCAATCAATCAATCAATCACTCACTCACTCACTCACTCACTCACTCACTCACTCACTCACTCACTCACTCACTCACTCACTCACTCACTCACTCACTCACACACTCACACACTCACACACTCACACCCTCACACCCTCACACCCTCACACCCTCACTCACACATGCACGCTTACGCGCGCGCACACGCACACCTAAATAAATACCTAAATACCTACCTACCTAAATACCTACCTACCTACCTACTTACCTACCTACCTACCTACCTACCTACCTACCTACCTACCTACCTACCTACCTACCTACCTACCTACTTACCTACCTACCTAAATACCTACCTACCTAAATACCTACCTACCTAAATACCTACCTACCTAAATACCTACCTACCTAAATACCTACCTACCTAAATACCTACCTACCTACTTACCTACCTACCTAAATACCTACCTACCTACCTACCTACCTACCTTGTGTATGTATATGCATATCCATATGTAAATGTACATAAACACATCAAGACTCAGAGGATTTCTTTCTTGTTTATTAATGTACGTTTTTATTTATCTTTCAGAACAACTTAGAAGCAGCTCGTTCTGCTTTTGAGGGATTCCTGCCTCTGTATCCTTACTGCTTTGCCTATTGGAAGAAGATCAGTGACATGGAGATGAGGCACAAAAATTTAGAAAGGTTTGAGAACTCTCTTTTCTTTTATCTCTTTTCTTCCCCTTTTTTTTGCCTTTTTTTTTTGTGTGTGTGTATCCTCTTTTCCTTTTGTTGTTGTTGTTGTTGTGCTTAGAGTCTTTTTTCCATTTTGATTTTGTGACAAGTTAATGTAGAAATAATTTTTTTTAGGGCTTGTAGTTGCGTTATGAGAAGAAATCTTATTTTAAATTTCAGAATTATAAATACAGTAATGTTATTTGTCTTCTCATCCCTAATTACTCTATTTGTCTCCTCTTCTGTATTATCAATATCTGTCTTTTAATTTCTTCTTTATTCTTGAAACTTATTTTTCTTTATTTATTTTATTCTTCTTTGGTCTTTTAGTTTTTAATTTCCCCCCAACAGATCTCTTGGTATTCTTCTCATCGGAAGCGAATGCGTGCCGTTTTGCACCGACTTGTGGGTTCCTCTGGTGGAGAATTTCATCTCCTATGGCAAAGGGAAGTCACTGGAGCCTCAGTGTATCCGATTGTAAGTATGAATCGAGGAGTGAATGTCAATCTCCATTTTGCAAAGTGTGTTTTTAGTTTTTGTTGTCATTGCTTGTAGGGTGATGTAAATTGCAGCTGTTCTTTTCACATCACTTGATAAGAATCTGTTGTATAAGCTGGAATTGGTATAGTCATATAAAGGCTTTTTTATTTTTAATCTATTATTTGTTATTTTGACCCTCTGTGTATATTGGACTTTATTATGCATTGATAAAGATATGCATGTTATCATTTTTAATCAAGCAATTTGATTTGCTTTCAATCTGTTCTCAACTTCCATTTGCTTCTCCACAACTTCAGAAGTTTGTAAGATATTATTAACACTGTTTGCAGGTTGTATGAATATGGTCTAGACTCGGCAGGGAGAGGATGGCACAGTTCTCCGCTTTGGGAAACTTGTATAAACTACGAACAGCAGGACACGGGAGACCTCGTTCAAGTCATGGGATTGTACAAGAGACTTCTGTCTACACCAACTAAACTGTACAATAAACACTGGGACCAGTAAGTGATTTTCCAAAAATGAGGGTAATTTATGCATAGAAGGCTGTCTAATTTGCAGGTTGAACTCTCCTCTTTTTACCGTTGAGAGTGAGTGTCAGCTCATCCTCAGGTTTCCATTCATATACTCCCAATTATTTATTGAGACCCATCCACTAGTGTGAATAAAGAAATGAATATGTGAAATGGATATTATTGTAGGAGTCTGTGGAAAGGAAGTACAAGGGGTATGAGATCGTTTGTTAGAGGCAGCACATGCCACACACACATATATATATATATATATATATATATATATATATATATATATATATATATATATATATATATATATATATATATATATATATATGTATGTATATATAATTTATATTGGTGTGGGTTCACAGTGTCTAGATGGTGTGTTATGGTAGCGTGAAGCATCTAGGCACAAACCAAAAAAAAGATCGAGCATAATCACCACCTTGACATTAAGCCTGTAGGTTTCCTTGTTATACAAACTAGAACTTTTTAAACTTTTATGTATAATTATCATATAGGGCAAATTAACAGTTTTTGACAGTGTCGTAGAAACTTATTTGTAAAAACTTATCCTACAATGCTGGTACCAGAAATCTCACAGTGTCACTGATTCTGGTGACTTCTGGCAACTGTTCAGCCCTTTGGCCGGGGAGTCTGCTAAGTGTAGTAGAACTATGTCATGAACTACACATCTTTTGGATTTATAAAGCTAAAGATTTTATCTTATGGGTTATATCATATATTTTTAAAATGTCAGATAAAAAGATTAAAAATAGTCTTAAGTTGAAATAAAATAAAAGAAATATCAGCCAAAAAGTAAAAATAAAATATAAGAAATATCAGCCAAAAGGTAAAAATAAAAGTAAAAGATGGCAAGTGTAAAATACTTGGAAGATTTGAGATAATAGTGAAAATGAAATATAATATCTGTTAAATCAAGATAAATAGAAAATCAGGTTAGTAGACTTTCGAGTCTTAAGAATGAAGCAAATAAGTTGACAAGATGGCTATAAAGAGGTGAAAACCAAAAAAAAAAATAAATAAATAAAAGGCTATGCAAAAAGACTAGACAAAAGAACAGGATTGATTGAGCAAAATCCAGGCATGGCAAAAAGATGGGAAATGAGTGGCGAGGGGGTGCTCTCGAAAGCCAGAGATGGGGAGGACTTTACACTATGTTCATATGTCAGTAGAGGTGCCATGAGGTGCCATGAGGTGCTTCCATGCTTGGTTCAGGGAGACAAAACTGGGGCGAGGGAATTGGTGGTGGTCGTAATAGAAATAATCTTGCCAAACTGTGAACTTCCTTACACTCCCATCCATTGACAACCAATGAAATATAGGAAAACAGCCCCCCAATTTTTATAAGAATAAGCTTAATCAGTTCAGATAGGCTTTGGAATTACACTCAGTTGACTACTGTTTGACTTAAGGAATTAGCAAGAGAGTTACAAAGTACATGTTACATTATTAATTAGAAAATATACACAGGCTGACATTACTCAGTAATGGTAAAGTATTAACTACCCTTTTCAGTTTCCTCGCCATAATAAGGGACCACCATCCTCGTAATCTTCTCTCCGTGGAAGAGTACCAAAAGCTACGGAAAGAGACATGTGAGGAACTCAAGATCAAGTACACACCGTGCTCCATGGTGCCTCCAAAATCTGTTCACAAGGTAAAATTTTTTCTTTCATTGAGGGGTGGAATAGTCTGGTGTCTGACTGTGGAATGAGAATTCAGTAACTTTTTATATTGATTTCCAAAGACTTCCATATGCTTGATTGCTATATTTGAGAGAGAGAACTATGTAAATGTTACCTGCTTCCTGCTTTATAAGAGAAAATCTCTTGATCAAGATAATAAGATCATTTCAGCTATGTCAGTAAGTTATATACTTTTTCAGGATTATTTGTTGGATGTTAAAATTAGGGCAAGAGAAATTGGTGGACATTAGAAATATAAACTCTGTTTACACTCCTAGATTACAGCTTGAATAGTAGTTCATCACATATGGAATTTTTCTTTTATTCATGAATGTTATTGCATTGTCTATGTATAGGTTTAATGCAGATATAACAAACTACACCAATTTTGGTTATAGATAACATGATGTATATTTGTAGATTATTGGGTATGTGAGTAACTGGAGGGCAGGGAGGTAGGCTGTGCCCAGGCCTAAGAGGATTTGATGAGAACAAGAGTAGGAAGTTTTACTCTGACATGAGTCTAATAGACAATTTTATGTCTAGAAAATTTTCTGATATTTAGCAAATTCTAAATATTTGACAAAAAAAGTATGGAGTATTAGGCAAATCTATCAAATGTCCAGATGTGTGAATCTCTGCACAAATAAATTCTTCTTTATAAATGGCCAGTAGCTTTTTTGCCAAGACTGATACACATCAAGTCACTTTCTCTGAACTTTGTACACTGTCTCTTTTTACTCATTTCATCATATGTTATGTTTTTTGCTGCTATTTCGTACACCTGTTCTCACTGGTCATGCCCTTTTATCCTTGAGCAGCCCTCTGTCACCAGTTACACACATGTCCCATAATCTGCCAATACATTTGATCCAAGCTATTTAAGCTGTAGTATGAGAATGTAAACAAACACAGTTAATGTTTCTACGGTCCACCGAAAACAGTATAGACAATATTACATGCACTGTTCTTTGTGTCTTTGCTTTATTGATTTTGTTTACATGTAGATGGCTTCACAAGCTTTTAGTTGTCCTTTTGTATGCTTGAAAATGAATATCTTTACAGCACAAGAGAAAAGGTGTCTTCTGTATGCGCCATAAAAGTTAAATCAGTATTAAAGTTTAAGTCAGATCACATGCACAATGGCAGCATTCAGAATTAAGTACTATACTGTTAGTACCATTGTTGTTGTTGTTGTTATAACAACAACAACAACAACAACAACAACAACAACAACAACAACAACAACAACAACAACAACAACAACAACAACAACAACAACAACAACAACAACAACATTATTATTATTATTGTTATTATTGTTATTATTGTTATTATTATTATTATTATTATTATTATTATTATTATTGTTATTGTTATTGTTATTGTTATTATTATAATTATAATTATAATTCTAATTATAATTATAATTATAATTATTATTGTTATTATTGTTATTATTGTTATTATTGTTATTGTTATTATTGTTATTATTGTTATTATTTTTATTATTTTTATTATTTTTATTATTTTTATTATTTTTATTATTATTATTATTATTATTATTATTATTATTATTATTATTATTATTATTATTATTATTATTATTATTATTATTGTTATTGTTATTGTTATTGTTATTGTTATTGTTATTGTTATTGTTATTGTTATTGTTATTGATATTGTTATTGTTATTGTTATTGTTATTGTTATTGTTATTGTTATTGTTATTGTTATTATTATAATTATAATTATAATTATTATTATAATTATAATTATAATAATTATTATTATTATAATTATAATAATTATTATTATTATAATAATAGTAATAGTAATAGTAATAGTAATAATAATATGAATAGTAATAATAATAATATGAATAGTAATAATAATGATAATGATAATAATAATATGAATATAAATATGAATATGAATTAAGAATAAAAATGAAAATAAGAAGAATGAGACTTAGAAAAAAAAGATAATTAATATAGTAATGAAGAGATAATGATAATGATAATGATCATAATAGTGGTTACTTTAAATTAGCTACTAAACATTACCCCAACTAAAGTACTATTTGCATATGTTTTAGATTGAATAAATCTTTAAAAATAAACAGTTACTTTAATGATTGATAATGTTACTTACCCATTTTTATTCTCCATATCATCTGATTTAAAGTGGGGGGATAAAAGGATGTAATTAACCCCTTGGTCGCAGGTGGGATCTACTGTGATGCCATGGCGGTGTTGCGATGATGCCGCGGGTGGCACTTTTATAGGTGTGGCCTGTGCAGATATACTTGTTTGGCAGACCGGACAGCTGCCGAAAAAGCCTGCGCACATTGGGTTAAAAAATGTTTATCATTAGTTGCTAACTGTGTCTTCCTCCAACAGACTCCTCAGCCAGAAGACAAGCTCACGTCTCGAATGAAGGAGAAACTAGTGGCTTCTTACATCAAGACTCATGAACACAATGAAGAGGAGGTGGACAAGAGATGGAAGTTTGAGGAAAGGGTCAGTAGTTTGGTGATGTGACCAATTTGCTTTATGGGATAAGGGAAAGGGTCATGGTTCCTTGGTATTTTACTTTAGTTATGTCAGGGGAAAAAATTATCAAAATATTTTTTTTCCTTTGGAGTTTCTGTGTTAATTTCTACCTGAAAGCATGCTAGACCTTGTTGTAAGAGTTATAATTTCAAGTGAAAAGGAGAATATAAGAGTATGATTTTTATAAGAGAGCATATATCTAAGATACTATAGTTCTTAACTTTATAAAGGCCAGATATAAAAGAGATCGAGCATGAAATAATAATCTATACTTATGTACATTTGATAGGAAAACTTTTTGAATTGGGCTCCACAAATTGCTACTAAGCAGCAGATGATTTGGTAATGATAAACAAAGATTGGTTTGATAAAATGGTAATAGGAGAAAATTTATGGCTAGCTGGCCTCCTGGCATACCTGTTAATTGCACATGGGAAGGTAAGCCAAAAACCCTGACAGTGCTATTATCAGGTGAATAATTAGCATTCTCTTTTTGACATTTTGTGTTGCTGACTAGTTTTTCCATCTTCCAGATCAAAAGGCCTTATTTCCATGTGAAACCTCTAGATAAGAAACAACTCAAGAACTGGAATGAATATTTGGACTTTGAAATTGGGATAGGGGACCCTGTCCGAATAATTCCACTCTTTGAACGTGCTCTCGTAGCCTGTGCTCTGTACGAAGACATGTGGTGCCGCTATGCTTCGTACATGGAGAAGCATGTGCAAAACATCTTGGATGCAATGCACAGTGAACAAAGCGAAAAGAAAGAGGAAGAAGTGAGTGATGCAAGTGGTGATAAGAAGGAAGCAGAAAAGGCAGAGGGAGGTGGTGAAACTAGTGAGAATTCTGCCACAGCTTCCGAGTGTATAGCTAAGAAAAAAAATTGTGAGGATAATTCTGATGAGAATAGTCAGGTAAATGATGAGAGTGTAGTTGATGTTAAAGATGTTAAAGATAGAGATGATTCAGGTAACCGGGGCTCTGTTGCCAGTGCGCAGAGTGAAAGTGCAAGGGACGACTCCTCAGTTGGGAATAGTGACCAGTGTGACTGTGATAAAGACGCCAAAGTGTGCGAGGTCCATGTGCTCTCAAACTGTACCTCGGAAACGGACTCTGCCAGCCAGGACGATCAGACAGGCAATGAACAGAGGAAAAAGATAGTAGAAACAGAGCCCCAGACTTACAAACAGCTCAAAGACAAACTCAGTGTTAATATAAGTATGGCTGAAAGAGTGTTGAGATGTCCCCCGCTCACCCCCGCGTGGATAAAGGGAGGGGTGAGCTGGGAGGACGTGAGGCACACATACCGTCGTGGTGCGTGGATACATTGCCCCAGTAAACCCCGCCTTCTCATGCAATGGGCAGAATTTGAGGAAACACAAGGTAAAGAAGGTGACCCTGGACCTCTCTCCAGACCAGGGTCATCTGCGGTAGGAAGTTTGTATGTACATATCTTTTTTCCTCTCTCTCTTTTTTTTTTTTTTTTTTTTTTTTTTTTTGTGCCTCAAGGGAGGTCTCATAGTATTGAAATGATTTTGATGGTGAACAGTCTCTTTGACTGTGATTATTACTATTGTCTTTCCAATTTAAATATTTGTTTAAGTAGCATTATTTTTGGCTAGCTTACTTTTTTTTTCCATTGTGATTAAAACCTCTGTATCAAGATAACTTAATCTAAATATTTTTTTTAATGATATTCATTCCTTTGATTTTTTTTTCATTATTAATGAAAATTGATTTTATATGCCTATTACATGCACATAGCCTACATGTTATATAGCTAGCTATATTTTTAAAGATCTAAGAAGGACAAGAAGAAAGAAAGATAAAAAAAAAAAAAATAAAATAAAATAAAAAAAATAAATATATATTTTTTTGTAGTGTAAGCATATAAACTTAGTATACTTGAGGATGTAATTGTTATATATGTTTGACCTTGAGTGAAAAGGGGAAAAGTCAAGTGATTTACAAAGGCAATATTCTTATATTTTGATTAAGTTTAAACAATTTCTGTGACATTATCTGATTATATGATTTCAGTAATTAGTTTTTATTTTTAGTTCCAAACGAATGACCTCTGTGGTATAGAAATTGATTTTGAATCATTTCAGGTAATTTGGATACAGCAAGAGAGCTGCTTAGTACAGTTATTGCCAAGCATCCCACTCTACTGAAAGCTCGGTAAGTGAAAGAAGGTAAAGACGTAAGTATGTCATAGACTGTTAAATATATAATCATTATGAAGCCTCTGATGGAGAATATTTAGATCTTTTTATGTAGCTTTTCTTGGTTGTGTTCCATAGCCTGTTGGATGCTGTTGGTACACATGATGATCATTTTGTAGTTTGTTGTTTATTGGTATATTTTTTTGCACAGGCTAATGATAAGCATACAGATTTGGAAACAGTTTTTAATAGATACTAAATGTAGTACATTTATAATTAATGTTTTTCCTGTATCTTTAGATGTAATGTGTTTTTTTCCATAGTAGATAGAGAAAAATAAAAAAATAATTTTCTTTGATTTTGCAGAATGCAGCTGATAGAACTGGAGCGCAGAGCCCAAAGTTACCAGCGTGTTGAAGAGTTGTATGCTGAAGCATCTCGGGTTGTCACTGAGCCTCGCCTCAGATCTTGGCTTGCCATTAGATATGCACGCTTCCTGTTCAAGGTGAGTAGGCTAGATGTAGAGAAAAATGGGATGTTTATTGTTTTTTTTTAATTTAGATAGTTTTATTTCCTTTTTATTGCTGTACTGTTGTCAGAGTTTTTGAGGTTTTATGCGTATACTTGTAGCATCTCTGAGGAAAAGTTTTGATAATTTGTGAATGCTATGCTCTCAAGTTCAGATGAGTTTTCAGATACTTTCATATCATGATTGATGAGAAGAAATTCTTTTCTTTGCATTTTTTTATTAGAAACCAATATTGTAGCATAAGAACAGTCTTAAATGGGATTTAAAAGTAAGGCAGAAGTGATCAGTCCCACCATTAACCCTTTCAGATCCTTCTGGAAGCAGACCGAGCGCTGGTAGTGCTCCGCAAGGCCCTCAAGAAGGATCGAGGCAATGTACATCTGTACCACCATGTATTTGATATCTGCTACCAGCGCCAGCCTTTGGACTGCCAAGGGGTGCTGGCTTCGGTGATGCTGGCCCTGGCATCTAAGGAGCTCTCAGTCCACTCCAAATACTGGTTTGCTTTCAAGAGGGTGGAGTTCCTGAGAGAGCATGGAGACATTAAGGAGTAAGTGGTATGAAGTTTTGTCAAGATGATAGGAGTGTTTTTTAACTGCCTCTTTTGTTGTATTTATACTGTTTGTTAGAGGAGTTTTGGGAATTCTCAAGGGGATTCTTTGTATCAAGATTACATAGTCACCCTGTATTAGAAGCAGAATAATGCAACATAAGTTATGCCAATGCATGACACTTCTTCTCATTCAAGTTTTTTTGTACACATTGTTCTTTAGACTGAAAAAGGCACAAATGGAGATGGAGGAACTAAAAGCCTTGGTAGATGAGGAGCTTGCTAAGAAGGCAAAGGAGGAAGAGGAGAAGAAAGAAATGGATGCAGTAAAAAGTGAAGGCAAGGATACCACTGCTGGAGAAAATGCATCAGGTGGTGCAGGTAGTGAATCAGTTTTCTTGTCATTTTAGAAGAATATGACTTGGACATTTTAGCTTCTTGTGGTTATTATATGGAGAATATGACTACTGAAGATTTCAAGCTCTGTATTTCTAGACTTTTCAAAGAGCCTGTTTTTTCTAACGTATTAACCTCTTACTGCCGGGCCTCACCTATAGCTGTCATGAGAAACTAACTTATCGTGAAGGATATGGCTATAGGCGTCACGACTTGCTAGAGCTAGTTGAGCAGGAAGTTCTGCTACACATAGTGGACTCCTGGGCCCATTGGCTGGATGGTTGCCAGAAGTCATGCGAATCAGTGAAGCTGTGAGACTTCTGGTACCGCCATTGTAGGATTAATGAATTTATTCAGTGAAACTCTACTAGTTTTCTTCAAGTCATATGATTTTACTGAAATTTAAATGGAGACCAGAATCAGTAACTCTTTCATTGCACATTGTAAGAAGTAATAACATGCAGGAAATCTGTTTTCCAGATCTCAACTAAACATTTGCAAGAAACTAATTTTTATTGTTCAAATTTTAATCATTTTTCAGAAGGGAAGACCAGTACAAATGCAAGTGAAGAGGCGGCTCCACTAGGGAGTGAAGTAACAACAGCAGAAGCCAATCCTCAAGCTCTGCAAGTGCCTGAAGCCCAGCCTAACCAGCAGTTCCCAGTTCCGTACTTTGCTGCTGATGGTATGGGGTCTCTTTCAAAATTTGATGTGCTGTTGTTGTTATCATTATCATTGTTATTTTTGTCATTGTTATTTTTCATTATTTTAGTGACTTTGTTATTCAGTGACTTAGTACTGTCAGTCATCTTTCACAATTTTGAGCTCGGTCGTCCTTTCCCCTTCCTTCAGGTGCCATTACCTACACCCCAATGGAGGGCTATGGCTATGGCTACTCAGACCCCAACCAAGCTCTGCCAACGGCCCAGGAGGTAGTCCAGGGTGCAGGAGGGTCGGCAGAACAGCTGGACAACACCGCTGCTGACTGTCACAAAGTTCCTCCTTCTTGGGAATTAAATGTCCAAATAGGGGGATATGGGTAAGGATTTTGATGTGCATTTTGTTTTAGGTTATTCCTTGGTTTAATTGACTATGTAATTGTTATTGGATTTTTGTTTGGTGAATTAGTTAATTAGGCTTATTGAATTTTTAATAGATATATTTGGATGTATGAGTCATTATTTGAAGTAGTTTTATGAATTTTTATGATAGTTATGAAGCAATTAGGTTTACGAAGCTTTGCTAGACTAATTTGCTTCTGCCCGTTAAGTCTATAATAGGAAGTGACTCGGTTCCCCTTTTCTCGTCATAGGTACGGCAAGCCAGACGAGAATCGCTGGCATCAGGATGCAGCCTATCACCAGTATGATGAGCTTGTTTCCAATGGCTACCCAGACCACCTCAAGGACAGCAAGGTAAGGCAATAGGTCTTGAGATGATTAATCGGTCATGCTGTTTTTTTTTTATGGTGTGAAAGAAAATGCAAAGAAAATATGAGACAAAACTTTATATAACATTAAACTTTGTGGTGTTTGGGTTGAACAAAAATGAATTACATCTCTACTGAAGAAGAATCTCATTAATGTGTCACCTTTCCTTTTTGTTGTCTTTCCATGTGGTGAAAATCTTGTATAATTAATCATGTAGACATGAACTTTCAACTTGTCCAAAAATCAGTGAAAATGAAATTCTCCTTTCCCCCTTCCCTAAGATGGAGGATTTCAAGATGCCTTTCCAAGTTAGTATCGACCACCTGCACCGGCGTCCAGGGTTACCTCCTCTGGGGAGGATGCCTGACCTAAGTCAGCCACCACCATCTGCCCCAGGGAGCATGCCCTCCAGCCTGCCCCCACCTACAGATATGCCCCATTCTAACCTCCTGCCACCCATCATGCCAGGAGTCCTGCCACCCAAGTTCACACGGTTAGCACTCAAAGAGCTTGTTTCTACTTTGTGATATAGGTGCATATGTTATAAGAAGCCCATGTTTTATTTCCTATTTTTTCTATATTTTTTTCTTCCTTTTCTCCAGTTCTCTTTTCTTTTTCTTGTTTTTCTTTAGGTCCACATTTATCTCTTTTAATTTCTTTAGGCCTCCTCCACTTCCTGGCCTGGGTGGCTCTGGTATGATGTTGCCAGGCTATAGGCCTCCTGGTGGGCCTCTGGACAACCTCCCGCCAGGTGAGAGGCCACCGCACCCTGCAGACAGACCTTACCTTGATGGTCCTCAGCCCTATGGCAAGCGCAGACATCCAGAAGATTACAGGTACATATAGGGTAATCAGTAGAGTGTAAACTATTCTCCTGTTGGGATTTGTGCATGTAGAGTGAGTTGATACAGGCTAGATGGAAAGCTATATATTTTTTAAAATTTTAGGCTTGAAATTTTTATTTTGATCTTCTGCTAAGTTGAAAGGTATTGTTTTTAGGATTCTAGATCAGTTGGAAAGGTATTTTTTGAGATTCTCGGATAGATGAAATGTATATATATATTTTTTTAGAATTCTTAGTTATTGTGATCCATATATCCACTATCTTTTATCAACACTTTTGGAAAAAATAATATAATGGTTACTAATCCATGAATGCTATATAGAAATGAAGAAATAAGTCAGAATAACAGTACTCTGTCTTCTGATAATGAAACCCTTCCTTGGTCACAGTTCTGAGGACGAGCCAGCCTACAAGATGTCCCACTTGGACATGGACAGCCACCAGTACCGACCTGAGTACGACAACATCTACACAAATTCCCCCGGACCCTGTGCCCCGCCAAGCCACCGGGCACACTTTGGCTCCTGGGATAGTGACTATGGCTCGTATAGGTCTTACGGCCGCAGGGATGGCCTTCACGGCGACCAGCTTGGAGATCGGCATGATCTTGCCACCCTCAGGGACAGCCCAGAGCTCTCCCGCTTCAATGAGGCCAAGAGATACTCCCTGCGTGATGAGGATAATTACTCGCCCATTCCTCGGGAGGTTCGTTGCTATGATTTTGTATTTCATTTTATGAAAAATTTATTTAGAGCTTCCGTCTGTGTCTGTCTGTCTCTTCTCTCGCTTATATTCGGAGATACTTCAGACACCTTCAATGAAGAGCTGGACTGGCATCTCCTGCCCATCATCCTATCACTGTTGGGCTGTCTTGTGCTGCAGTCATTCACTGCCAAGCTGCCTTGCGTTGTAGTGGTCATAGTGGTGGACCACCAGCAGAAAAGGTGTCTGAAGTGTCTGAATATGATTGTCTGTCTTTGAGTCAGTCAGTTAGTCCCCCCCCCCTCTCTCTCTCTCTCTCTCTCTCTCTCTCTCTCTCTCTCTCTCTCTCTCTCTCTCTCTCTCTCTCTCTCTCTCTCTCTCTCTCTCTCCCTCTCTCCCTCTCTCCCTCCCTCCCTCCCTCCCTCCCTCCCTCCCTCCCTCCCTCCCTCCCTCCCTCCCTCCCTCTCCTCTCCCTCCCTCCCCTCCCCCCTCCCTCCCTCCCTCCCTCCCTCCCTCCCTCCCTCCCTTCCTCTCTTTCCCCCCTCTATCCCCACCACCATTTTTATTCACTTCTCTTTCTCTCTCTCTCCCCCTCTTTCCCCCTCTCTCCCCCTCTTTCCCCCTCTCTCCCCCTCTTCCCCCTCTCTCCCCCTCTCTCCCCTTCTCTCCCCTCTCTCCCCCCTCTCTCCCTCTCTCTCCCTCTCTCCCCCCACCCACCATTTTTATTCACTTATTTAAGATAAATATCTCCACTCCTCCCTTTCCAGCTTGGCCTCCAAGAATCAGACAGCATGTGTGTGAACGTGCCAAAGTGGCTGATGCAGGATGGCGGGGAGCTGTGCCTGAGTGAGACGGACCGCGGTGTGGCCCTCATCCGCTACTGGCCCAACTTCATGACTGATAGTGGCCAGATGGTAAGGCTTCTGTGGCATTTTCAACAAAATAGAGAATTAGGGCTTTTAATCCACTCATGACGGAACTCCACATTGGGGTGTGCTTGGAGTGCGCTGCATATGGATAAATAAAAAGTTGGGTCAAACTTAGAATTATCTTACTCTCTATGCTTTTGGGTGTAGCCAAGAGTGTATATTGTGTAGTTAATGAGGTTAAAGAGTGGCTTTAATCCCACTTTTGAGGAATAATTTTTTTTTTTTTTTTTTATAGAACAGTCACCTAATGTCTCTTTTTGTTGCAGTCCATCTTCCGAATCTTACGCAAGGGCCTCAAGTGGCACCAGCGACGTGCGTTGATTGAGGGCAAGTGGCAAAACCTTCCACACCTCCTCTCATGGATTGGCCCCTGTGACTATTCCTACTCAGGGGTAACTCTGGAGAAGAACACCAATTGGTTGCCAGAGATTGTCGACCTGCTTCACAGGTGGGTGCAGGATATATAATGTGTACTTGCGTTAGGATGAGAGCATGGCCCGTGTGCATGTGGGTGCACTTACATTTGTAGTTTTGTGATAGCATATTTTATATGAATTTTACCAAGATGTAAGGAGACCTATACTGGACAGCTCTCAAGCAGAAATATATTATCATATGCAAAAGAAATGAGCCCCACACGTTCAGTGCAAACCAGTCATCCTCCTTTTCTTCCTCGCAGGCTAATTCGTTACACAGGCAACCAGTACAACAGCTGCTTCTTGAATCTGTACCGCAATGGTTATGACCATGTTGGGTGGATGTCGGAGAACCACCCTGCCTTGCGTGATGAACCTTCCATTGCCTCAGTCTCTCTTGGTCAGTGTGGAGTTTTTTAATGTTTTTGGATACAGAATCTTTTGTCTTCTTTTTTTTTTCCATATCTTTCCCTCTTTCTTTTTTTGTTTTTTTCTTTGATTTAAAGAGTAGTTGTTGGCATTTGTTTATATCCATTTTGAATTGTAAGATATTTTGTGTTTATTCCATTTCAGTTTTATCTATGGAAAATGTTTCACTTTTACTTGTGTAAAAAAAGAAAAAAAAACTTCCTTTGCCAGTACTATTCACATTATTTATGTTTAATCTCTCTTACTGGTACAGGTGTGACAAGGCTTTTTGAGATGCAGAGGAAAGATGGCAGTGGATTCCTTCGGTTTCCTCTCATCCCAGGATCGCTTTTGCTTATGGAAGGAGCCACGCAAGAAGATTGGCAACACCAGGTAAGTTGGAGTAGGATGTGACAATCATAATTAAAGGAGAGAAAGGGTTAGTGCTGGTGGTGGTTTGGATTTGGGGAAGATTTCTTTGTCTATGGTAGAGAGATTATGAGGTCTTTTATATTTCATTCAGGCATTCCTTTTCCTCATTTTAACTGCCTGAAAATTTTTAGATGTGTTTACCCAAATCTCTGTTCAAATATGTATATATGCATTTTTATTATATCCTTCATCATTAAATCTATCCTAATTACCCTTTTCACCTTATCCTCACAGTTCCCTAAGCAACCCAACGTGGCTTCCGAGAGAATCAACATCACCTTCCGCAAGATGTACATGATAGAAGGGTTGACTGTGTGAAGGCTTGGGGGCATAAATGAACCTCATCTTCGGTGCTACAGATGTGAAGGGGAGGAAGCAGCTGTAGGGATGTTAGGCATTATCCAGTGCTCATTTTGGAAGTTGAAGTGAATGTCAGAATAGATTTCAGAGTCATGGGATTTCATCCTAAGCCATAATATGAAAAAAGTGTTTTTTGCGGAAACATTTGAAATCTGAACTAGTCAAATATTTAATGTTTTCTCTTTTTTTGTTGAATTTGATATGGCAAGTATGACTCTCTTTTGGTGAGATTTTCCAAAGAGAAATTTATTGGTTTGCAGATATTTGTTTTCCACAGTCTTATGAAGTTTCCAAAATGGAATTTCATTGGTTTGCAGTTTCATTGTTCACAGCCTTTTATTCAATATCACCCAAGTGCAGCAATAAGAATTTTATAGAAAATGTCATTATTTGAAATTGTTTTTTGAATACATTTGTATTTGATATTACTGTACAAAACTGTAAGCAAGCTAACCATTAAAGTATGTATGAACAATTTGTTTAGTATGAACCATAATGTGAGATGGAAATATTATTTCTATGCATAGGAATATATCAAATAACATGGAATTTTAATAGGATACATTTTATAACATTTAAGTGTATACACTTACTATGCAAATAAAATGTTAAAGAAAGGTTGTTCATTTTAAAATGCCTCTTATATCAAACATGCGTCTTATAGCGAACATACATCTTATAAATCCATTAAATTGTAAACCCAATGTACGAGAAAATATTATGAGGAAGTACTTTGGACACCAAAGACAGTGCAGCTAATTCTGTATAGCTAAAACACAAAATTGTTTGAATGAATTGTGGAATCTAATATATTGTTATCAATACAAGACAACCTTTTTAGTACCTTTTTTGCTGGCGAAATATATTGGAATGCACACAAGCTAATCGTTAATTGGACAAAATGTGTAAAGAATACAAATTTTGTTTGATAATGAGATTTTTGCAAAAATGAATCCATAAAGACATCATCTAGTAATTGAATTGGTCAAAATATCAACAAAACACATTAAATCACCTTTATTTGTAAGTGTAATATGAGGCATGTCTTTAGAAATTAGTGTAGTGTCATGTATTGTAGTGTTGAATTTCATGTACATATGAGTAATGTTTTCAGTACAGTTCAAAGTTATATTTCTTATTGATATGTATCATGACTTGATGTTTGCCAGATTTGCTATTACAACAAGGAAACCCAAGGTATGGTTGCTATGTGCTTTTGATGTGGGACTTACAGAAAACATTTCACTTGTTGCCACATAAAAAGATAATGACAGTATATTTTTGTTTCATTGTTTACACACATGCGCGTGTGTGGACACGCACACACACACACACACACACACACACACACACACACACACACACACACACACACACACACACACACACACACACACACACACACACACACACACACGCACACGCACAAAGGCTGTGTGTGTGTGTGTGAGTAAATGTGTGTGCGTATGTAATTAATGAAACAATAACATTCTGGCATCATCTCTTTATGTAGTAACCATTCTTTCTCTTCATGTCAGCAGTAATACTGTAGTTTTTTTTTTTAATCTTGACTTGAGTCCTGCACTTTAAATATGAGGTTCATGGGCTCACTCTGAGGATGGTAATTAGAGTTGACCTTAGTACACGCACGCATACATGTATACGCAGACTTACATGTACAGGCACGCACACACACATACACACATGCACACACACGTGCACGCATACTTGCAGGCACACACACGTGCACGCATACTTGCAGGCACACATGCATGTATACCTGCACACCCATATACATGCACACCCATATACCTGCGCATATACACGTACACACTCATATATGCTCACACACACACAGACATACACACACACACACACACACACACACACACACACACACACACACACACACACACACACACACACACACACACACACACACACACACACACACACACATACACACATGCACACACACATACATTACGTATACATACCAATACATGTACATATGCTCGTATGTGAAGAGGTTAACACCTTTGTATATTCACACTGATGATATTGTATAGTAAAAGACCACTCACACAAGGAAAGACTTTCTTGTTCTATGACATCTTGAGCAATTTGTTTATTTTTTCTTCCTTTTTTATGATTCCCTCAATTATTATTATACTCCCTTTTGGCCGATTGCCTTGAACTAAATCTGACCAGAGTGTTACCAATAAGTGAAATGAAAGAGATATTTAGTGATTAAGAGACATGTGAAATATGGCGAAGGAGCCCATAGAGTTTACGCAGCTTAATTCTACCAGAGGCTGAGCTCTACTGATGCCTATGAACTGATTGTTTGTACTCTCCGATCGTTAAAATGAGAAAATTTTTCACGTAATAATGCAGTCGTCCCATATTATAAGGGAACGACATTCACAGACTAACCATATTGGAATGAACATGAAAATGAAAAAAAAAATGTTACATGAATAGTTTTATTTTATTTTGTGATAATTCCGAATCCCTGAACAATAAGTTCCATAAAGCTTTGTTCTTTTACATCCGAAATATACTGTAAAATACATTCATTTTCTCTTGTTCTCCTGTGTACTACTTTTTTGGCGAGAATCATCATGCACGCCCACGTCAGATTTAAGCAACTGCACCATGAAATACTCTAGTAAATGTTACAACCAATGGCAAGATGATTAGTATAACATGTTTACTATCTAAACTTAATTCATTCTTTACAATAATGTTTTGTCATCGGCAAGACCTACGACACTTGCATCGCCTGCAGCAGAGAACAGCGAGAAGGATAGTCATCGGCCGTATGAATATTTTCGAGGCGCTGGCAGAGAGCAAATTTCTGTCGCGATTCAGGATGACGGAGGAGGCTACATATAGTCTTATACAGAAGATTCTACCCCACTTGTCTCAGACTCTTAACAGCAAAGGTCATTATGATCTGCCTTCAACTTTTTTTTCAGATTCATGCAAAATCCCTGTTCTTAATTTTCAACTTATTTCATTTTTCTTATACCTATGTATATTCTAACGTGAATTTTTCAGCTCTCTTTAGAGCAGTTCGGCCTTATCTGTCGAAGCCTTTGACCAACAGCTGTTCAGGCTGTGACTTTTGCCTTGCAAAAGTAGCAGAAGGCCTTACTATGGCAGTGCCGCTAGTTGTGTCTTCGCTGTCTGCAGTGTGCGCAAGCAAGAAGCTCTGGTCTCTTCTGCTGTGATCTCCTTCTTCCCTGAATCTGATGACGAGTCTCTCGTCCCGTCTCTGAGTTACTGGGAGGCGGAGGCAACTGAGCACTTT